TAGTTTAGTGCATTAGAAAGGAATATTGTTTTTTGTTTCTTTATATATTATCTTGATGGATAGATTCAAATCACAAATTGCTTTACATTCTTCTTTTTGAAACATAAATTCACAAACTATAGTATCAGTGATAAGATTTTGCAGTTGGAGGCCGTAACAAAACAACAATCAGAAAACTAGCTTGTTGTTAAACCAAGGATAACCAAGGCATCTATTATATTTAACAAATGTCATTCTTGTGGTGATTTTGTTTTATTTCCAACTTTGTGAAATCAATCTCATAGGAATATTGCCTCCCAACTCAGTTTTTCAATATAAGGGGAAAAACAGAGGTGTGTTGCCAGAATGGTGTCCATATCCATTGTGCATGTGCAAGCTCGTTTGTGCATGAATATGGGGTTGAGCAACTTGTTGTGCAAACTTGTTTCCTTAGATCAAAATCATATATTCGATTACCATCTCTATGTATATGTATGTTGGCTTCAAATTTCTTTTGCTATTTGTCTTGGTTCAGAAATGTTGCTTTGGAGAAAAAATGTTCAAGTCTTCTTTCATGAAATCTTACTATTTTGTGTTAATGTGGTGCAATGGCAGATGGTAAGGCAAGTTCATAGTTTTAAGTTCATTATGTTGTTACTTGCATTGCTCATCATGTGTTTTCTGAAAGTCATCAAAGCCATTGGACTGATGTTGCTTTATATGTGTTGATCTAAATACGCAACTAATGGGAGCATGAGGTAAATCATTACCTTTGCATCATACACATTTTTCTTCTTTCATAACATTTGCTTTTTATTTTACAAGTCTCCTTTATCTTTCTTTTGTTACAAAATTTAAATTGAACTCTTGCTACATTGAAGCAATTCTGATAGTCTTTGTTTCCTAAACTAATCCAATCCTCATTGTTACAAAATGGCAGGTGTTGTTTGATTGCGTAATCAAGCCATTAAGGTATAGTATTGTTTGGTAGAATTTTGAGGTATATTATGATCTCCATTTA